TTATGTTTGTATTGGTACAAAAATTTAGGAGAAACAACCCCAATATTTTTGAACTAGAATATCTGACCGATAAGCTCTAGTCTGTACTTCTTGTGTTTGTAAAGTACTTAATTTCATACAGTAATTGCAATGGCTTTTTTTCCCTCTGAACTAATTTTTTCCCAAGAAGTTATTTTCTTAGAAATTGATTTCAGTCTTGCTTTTCAATCAGATTCTTAGCTGAGGTGGGAGTAAGAGTTAATGGGCTTTACATTAACAAGTGTGTTGAGCAATGATAAAAATCAGCAAGAGAACTATAGCAGCAGCACAGGAATGAGTTTTATGGCAAACCCATCTCAGCAGGGCACGTTATGGGAACAATAAAATTTTACTGATATATCATAAAGTGAAATTACAAAACATTTCCTAATCATGAAGAATGTGATGCTGAGTCACTCAAATCCCTACAAAATTAAAACAGTTTCAGCAATATGAAATGACTGTTGTTCCTGGTTCTAAGAAAAATTTGAAATAACAATTTATCAGTATAGAATTAAGATAATATCTAAAGAGAAATTGTATAAATAACATGGATTAGGTGCCTATTTTGAGAATTGATAAAAAGGGACTTAGGAAAAGTGTATCAGCCATGTATAACTGTTCATTGAAAATACAAGAAACATGAAGAGTCAGATTAAGGTTAACCTTGTGCTTCAAATATGAACAGCAGGCAACAAAGTAGGTTTAAGTCTTTGTAGGTTCACAGAGAGGGTCTGGTATGGTTTCTAGAGTAAAAATCAAACGTCTTCATTTTGCACAATGAATGCTTCTAATTGACATTTTGCTGGAGCATAGTTATTTGTTCATAGAATGGCCACAATTTTCCCTAGGCATTCATGTCCTCTTACCTGTTTTAAAATTGAAGTTATCCTTTTGTCACAGGTAGGGGACATGGTTATGACTGCATACAGTGTATAGGCTCAGCTGTTACATGAGCAAATACAGTCTTCTAGCAAAAGAGCAGTTTGGAAGCATTACAACAGAAATAATATAATAATGTCATAAGTGATGGAGTTGGCAAATGCTCTTGAGAGAATCAGATCAGGTGAATGTGTGCTGCTAATTGGTATGAAAAACTCTACACTAGTTTAAGTCCAATGCACGTTTCATACGATAATATTTCCTCTTAGCCTAGACCTTGACTCCTTATGCACACACACTTTGCTGTATTTAGAAGGACCTGGGTAAAAGGAAGAAAAAGGCTTGTGTCCTGGTGACCAGTAGTTCCTCCTGCCCTTTTTACAAATGCCAAAATTACGGCTTTGATACTTCTCCACACTCAATTTAGTCTGGCAATTCTGTGTGACCTTAATCTGATTTAAATAGCTAATGGTTGTTAACTTTCATTTAAGACACTCACTGTTTTCAGTTTCTGTATCCATTTGCCTGGTATGCTGTGAGAGCTGTCAGTGGCTGGTCTTGGTAACTGATGTGCAAAACATTGAGTAAGTCTCTGAAAAGTCTCTTTGCTATTGTCATTTCTCAGTGCCATTGCTGCCTCTGAATTTCAGTTGGATCTCTACTAGTAAGTAAAGTGTTTGGTACAGTCTCTTTCTTTCTTCCATTTTACAGATTGATTGACCTAAATCTGACATGAGAAACTGAACTGTGTGAGCAGAAATACACAAGGTTACCAGTCTCCATGCTCAAATTCCAGTCCAAAGCAGACATTGGACATAGGCCTTGGCAACATCTACTGTCCCCTGCCAATGAACAGCAGCAGATTTCACAGCTTTGCTCATGACTTGATGCTGTATTAAGTGTTCTTGCATTATTTGCATTTTACTTATGTGTATACAGAGGCCAAAGAGAATCAAAGATCCCTGAAGAAAAGCTGTATTTCACAGAGGCAACATGAAGAACACTTTGTTTTTCCCAAGAGATTTTGTTAAGCTGCAATGCTTTCTGCCTTAGTTACAATACAACAGCTGAAATGTCTGTGGTCAAATTATACCCTCATCTATCTCTGCTAGATATGTCAAACTTGGTTAGATAACAACTGTCACATGGAACAGGTAATTTGTAACGCTAGAATGAATTACTGCTTCCATGTAATAGTCATTAAAATCAGCTGCTGTAGAAATACTAGATGCAGCAGTGGTTACATGTAAAATTAATCCCTTTTCTCCATGAGCACTGAATGTGCTGGTTTTCATAGTGGGTTTTTTTTCCTTTCTATTGGAAATTTTCTGCTACTAAGCCATGCTTAATTTGACTGCTGCCACCAGTGAAATTTTTAGTTTCTTCTTGAATTTGCTCTTGCAGCTTTTGCCAAGCTCTCTTCATGAGGATACAGACGAGGTAACTATATTAAAGATTACCACGTAACCCCCTAGTTGAACTCACATTTGATATTTTACATCCCTGATAAATTTACTTACAGTAAGAGCAGGGGAATTTAGGGTATTTACAACTAAAAATACATCAGTTGCATTTGCATAAATTTAGATAGAAATAAAAGTATTTTTCTTCCACAAATGTTCCTTGGAACACAGTTCTCTCCATCTGGTCTGCCAGCCTGAAACTGAGAAGCAGCTATGTGTAGATTACATATGAGTCTAATGTCTAACCTTCCATAATAATCAATAAATGTGGTCTATGGATCCTAGAGTCATTCAGCTCACCCTAAACAAGTGGCAGTGGCAGCTCTCTAGTATTACTGCTAAGCACCTGAACACTGGTAAGTTGAAAATGTGATTCTTTAATATAAACAAATGCTTCAGAATTTCAAGCTCTGAGTGGGTTGTACAATGCATTTTTTTGTCACATCACATCACATGAGGATGTAGTGAACTATTTAGTTCAGAAAGAGACTAGATCATAGTCAAAAGAGTTACTCATGAAGAAGAAACTTAATTTTGGAGTTACATTCCCATAAGGAAACAAAATATTTTGAAAAATACATTTTTTAAAAAGGATTAACTTCTGAATCAGATTTTGAGATATATCTGATTTTCCCTCACTTGAAGTTTTCAAGCAGTGAATGAATATTGTGTAAAAGATCCTGTGCTTTCAGTTACATTACAGATCTTCCAAGTGTTCAGTTGCATTCTAAGGAATATGGTTTCTCTCTAAGAAAAAAATCACTACATAACATAGAGTAGCCATGGTTCACACAGATTAGAGATGTTCATGCTAGTCTGCTCTAGCTTTAAAAGCTACAAACCCATGAGTTTGCAGAGATTAAAAAGGAAGAAAATATATTGCAAAATATTGTGCATCCTTTAATTCATTTCATTGTTCCATTGCTTTATAAACAGTCTCTATTTAAAATCCTAGCTAAGAACTTTTCAAGTGCAGGTTTAATATTTTCCCCATAAAGTATACACATGTAAAGTAGGTAAGATTTCTCAGGATTCACTTAAGCTTGTATTATTGCACGTACCTTGCTTTTCCTTCAGTGTAGAAAAGTTTCTGATTGAGACAGGACTTATTTTCTATATTAGAGCTGATACTTGGGTGAGATTTGCTTCTCAAAAATTACTGCAATGGTTCTTTTGTTCATATTATCATCTTAACCAGAGGCCTGAGCTTTTTAATTTACATTGAGCCACTCAGACAAACAGGCTACGT